CTGCCGGCCTGTGCCCCGCTCTGGGCCCCACCGGTGCTGGCCTTGGGACATTGGTCCCAAGACGTTGGGATGTTGGTCCCAAGATGGCGACCAGGGGGTGGGGCACCTGTCAAGGGGCGGGGCCACCCGTGCAACCCTCAACAGCCTGCCAAAACTGGGTAAGTGGCCCTCCGCCCAAAATAATTGTCCGCCCCTGGCTTAGATTGCTGACCCGTCACACATCTGTGATCCTGTCTGAAGGAAGAGCTGTACTTACACTGCTGTGTAGTAACGAATTCCTGCTTCTCGCCTTCTCTTCCGGTACAGACAATGACAAGTAAAGATGCTAACCAGGAAGTGGAGATTGCCCGGTGTCACAAGGGACAGTATTTTGGAGAGCTTGCGCTTGTTACCAACAAACCCAGAGCAGCCTCTGCCTATGCTGTTGGGGAGGTCAAGTGTTTAGGTAAGGATTCCTCGTGCCATTCCCCATCACCTCTGCTGCCGAGTGCTGTTCTAGGTGGCTGTAGAGCCACTCAGGCCCCCGATGCCTGTTGGTGCCCCAGTTGGTGCCAGAGGCTTGGCCTAGAAGGGGCTTTCATTATCTCTCTGGGAACCACCATTTTCTTCCTCCTGCCCCTTTGGATACTGCCCCCTTTTTGGAGGGGTTTGGTGGAATCACAGAACAGCTTAGATGTTGTTTCTGGCCCTCACCTGGTGCCTGCTGTCCCAGGACGGGGGGATCGTGGGCGGACTCCAGGAGATCTGCAGTGTGGTGGGCGGCATGAAAGCGCGGCCTCCGTCTCGCCTGACTTTTGCTGCGCATGTCACTCAGGACTTTGAGATGATTCAGCTGTGGCTGTCCCGCAGCTACATTTGGCCTGCTTGTCTATCCTAAGGGCAGGGCTGTGGCTCCGTGCAAGGGCAGCATTGTCAAACTGGAAGCCTGATTTCTGTGGGAAGTGGCTTCTGCTGGGAAGTGGCACTGAAACCAGGTGGGCTGGACTCACGTTCCAGGAGTTGAGGAGATGCCAGCCGGGCACTCCTTGTTCTGGAGAGCAGCTGGTTACGTGTCCCCTTCTCTCCTTGTGTTTCTCTCTAGTCATGGACGTGCAAGCATTTGAGAGGTTGCTCGGGCCCTGCATGGACATTATGAAGAGGAATATAACACATTATGAGGAGCAGCTGGTGGCACTGTTTGGCTCCAGCATGGACCTGATGGATCCAGGGAATTAGGCACAGGGTGCCTTCAATGCCTTCTCAGTTCAAGACACAGAAAAGCCTCCTTTCAGCAACACAACACACAAGGAAAAATGGACACTATGGAACAGTTACTGCTGCTGTCTTCTTGGGCATTTTAGAACCATAAATTAAGTCTCAGCACAGATGGATGGGTAGAGGCTTGCTCCATGCCTCCACTTTGCTGCTGAAATGTCATTATTAGGCCTAGTTTAAAGATGATTCTAACCCTTTATTCACTTGCTTGGCTCAGAGTGGCGTGTCTCTCCAACAATAAGTGCCTGATACGAAACCCAAAGTGTAAAAGATACGGAGCCCTCTCTTTCCTTCTTGTCTCATAGTGATAAGTTTGCAGAGTGTGGTCTGTAACGGCAGGCTGCTTACCCTCTACAGCGGGCGCTGCCTTCCTGTTACAGGCTTTTGCTATCTTCCTTTGACACTTCCCTGACAGAGCGGCACGAATCTGGTTGTAATTGCTGCACTTGGGTTTGAGGTTGACAGTATCAAGGGGGCTGAACTATGTCAGAGCCATTGATGAAGTTGGCACAGAGGTGCTGCGCCACTGTCTGGAAGCTGCAAGTACTGCAGTTCTCTAGTGCAGCTGAGTGGGTGGGGACAGGCGTGTCCCGAGCAGCACAGAGAACGGCTCTGTTTCTTTGCGCTGCCGGAGCCCACGGGGTTTGGCTTGTGCAGTAAGAGATGGAGTGGCCTGAAGGGGCTGTAGCTGTATCATCCCCCAGATCTGCTCGTCTCCTCAACTGGGCAGGTTTTACGATTGAGGTATTGCAACATATGACCCTCTCTCTTAGAGAGATCCTCTGTACTGCTAGACTTCACGCGGCACTGCTGTTGTCTGGGTCAGTTTTAAAACTTTTTAAGGAGGCAATTTTTTGTAATTTAAAGGAAGAATATTTATGTACTTACATGAGCTCCCCTTAGTCCTAATATTTTACGGTAATCTAACTGGATTAGACACAAAGATGCTTCCAAATGCCACGTCTTCTTGTTAAACCTTTCAAGAGTTAGCAGTGTTTGACTTTGTGAAGCCAACACCTTTGCTAACAAAGCAGCCGGTATATTTGGGAGATCTTTTGGTTTAGGTAATAATTCAGCTAATGGTAGATATCTAAAATACCTGTTTAAATTGCAGCATCTATTAGATAGACTTCTTCTTCTGCCGAGATTTTATCAGAGTATTATCTAAATGAGAATCAGACATCAAGAGGGACCTTTTTATGGCAAAACCCAGAATCTTTCTACAACAACACTGACTTTTCAGGTAATAATAACTCTAATGAGCCTTTCCATCCTCGGTCTCTACAGCTCGTGCAGAGCTTTTAATGTTAGACTCCAGCAGAACAGGACCTGCCCTTCACTCCTTGTGGCCATGTGGGCAAAGAGAGAGGATGTTAAAGGTCTGGATTCCTGCTTCTCATTGGCATGATGGATCTGCTCCACTACAGTGGAAGATGCAGAGCTACAGCTGTGGGGAAGCACTGCTGGCTGGACACTAGCTCAGTTGGCTGCAGATCCTGCCTCCTTCCCCCCACCTACCCATGCTGTTTCTTAGAATGGAGCCGCTCTGGGTTGAATGCTGTCGTTCAGTGACAGCAGTTGGCTTGCATGGCATGTCCAAGTGATGCAAATGGTTTGTAATGGAAAGGGCAGAACCAGTTGCCATGTCCTTACTACCCTGATCAAGCTGTCCAGCAGCTCTTCGGACTGCAGCCATTCTGGAATGGCGTATGTTCCCTGTTTTGCCATGTGGGTTCTGTTTTGCATTAAACTACAGCCAAAGAAGCAGTAGGAATTTCATTCATGCTTCCAAGGTGACACACCAAAGACATGAGCTTTCATTAGAGCTATGAGCAGGGGAAGGGCAGCGCCAGGGAGCTTGGAATTGGGTAGTGGAGCCCACCCAGTCTTTGCACCAGGCTGAGCTCCTGCATGGTGTGCTGTCACAGAAGGACGTGTGCCATCAGCCGCTCTGCTCCCTCATGCTCCTCCCTTCTCTTCACTGCAGCCAGCAAGGGGGCTGCTGTGAATTCAGTTGAACTCTGCCGTCTCAACCATCACTTCTCTACATCACAGACCTGGCCTCTATACGTTGTTCTGAGGCCTGGTCCAAGGAAAGCAAGGCCTGCTGGCTTCCTTGGCTCGGGTCTGAAGGATTCAGTGGCTTCAGAAGGCAGAGGAAGGGAATGGAGATAGGGATGTCTTGAGGTCACAGCAGTGGGGAATCAGCCTGCCGTTTTCCCATCTTGGGCTCCTGGCATGCAGCACTGCATCGCCGTGTCCCGTGGCTGTCCTTGGGCAGTGCCACGTCCCACCCAGCTCTGAGGCGTGTATGGTGCAGGGGGACTGCTGATTCTGGAGGTCTCATTTGGAAGGTGGTGGGCCAGGCCAGACTGGTTTATCTTCTGTGGCATAGGAGGGTGTCCTTTGAGAGGGTTGGTTACATGTCAGCCTCTTTGGCTAGCCAGCTAGAGCACCGAGCGAAGCTGGGGAGAGTGCTTGTGCGTGGTGACGTAGATAAGAACCAGTGTGGAGATGGTGGCTCGTAGGCATTCGACAGCATCGGAGCCTCCCATCTTATCCCAGCCACCTTCTGTCACGTTTGTTCAAATGTCTCTGCGTACACATCCAAGTTCCCTGTCGGTACGGCTTTGTTCAGTGGAGTGGAGCTGCCAGAAATTCTCGGAAAGTGGCAGAGGAGAGCTCTAGTTTAATAAGAGCACTCAGCAGCAAAGTGGGTAAAGAAGAAGGTGTCTTTGAGACCAGAAGAAGGTGTCTTTAATTTCTGATTCCCTGCTTGTGATTGTTGTGAAGTCAGTGAGAGGAGCTTTTGGTAGTCAACAGTGTCCTGGCATATTACGGTATCTCTGTTCACCATCACAGCACAGATTTCACAGTGTACAAAAAAGGCTGTCTCTTTTAAAAAAAAAAAAAAAAAATCAACAAAAATAAAAAAAACAAAGTGCATTTTTGCACGAAGGAAAACACGAAACCCCTTTGAATGTCCCCGTCCGTTCTTTTCCAGTTAGCTAAAGAATGGGAGTTTGTTTTCAAAATGTATTTGTAAACCGGTCTTGCCAAAATACAAATGTTTTGGTTTTTTCACTCCAGTCACTTCCTGTTGTTACAATTATTGCTACTGCTGGCTCCAGTTCTTTCAACCGTGTTTTCTTTCAAGAGGCCTTCTCCTGCCAGGCTGCAGCACTAGGCCTGCATTTGAAGTTGCAAGAGAAAGTCACTACCCTCCGAGGAGAATTACTGAAGTCCGCCTCGTCTGACCGGAGCGCTGATGCGCTACTAGTGTTTTCCTTCGCTCAGAAAAAAAAGAAACCGAATTCTACCAAAAGATGCTACCTCAAGGCTCCAAGTGCTTGCCAAGGTCTGTCAGCTGGGAGAAGTCCACGCGTCAGCCCTGAAAACCGGGCTGTGGCTTCGAGGTAACTGTCTTGACGGCTTCATTGGGGGACCCTTCTTTTAATGCATCTGCCATGAAGTATTTGATTCTCAAGGGACGCCTGGTTGTGGAGAGCTCGGTCCTCGCCCTGCGGTGCTGAGCGAGCCGGGAGAGTGATACCTGCCTGGGCCGACGAGCTGGGGGCAGCTTCGCTGCTGGTTAATAAAGAGCTGACGTTGTGTCCAGCCTTCCTGGCCCACAGTGTGCGTGTGGTTTGTTCAGTGACCTGGGGCGGGGGTTTGGGGCGAGCCCCGGCGCTGCTGTCCCTGTCTGCCTGGCGTCCCTGCGCCAGCTGCACGTGGCTCGGCGGCGCATGCGCAGCACGCGGGAGTTGGGGCTGGCGAAGCCGTTCGCCACCAGGGCGGCGCAGCCGGGCCCCGCGCGCTTGCTGTAGGCACCCCCTCCTGCAGGGCTCCGCCCTTCCCGTGGGCTGGGCGCCGGAGGGGGCGGAGCCGCCTTGCCACCCTGCCATTGGCCGCGGCA